AACAAAAAAAAACCTGTCCCCGTGGTTTTATGCACCCCGCATAATTTAGCAAAATTTGATCATTTTTTGCATAATTTCTGATTATTTTCCTTTATCATTCTTTGTTAAAATTAACAGAATCGCATAATTTAGCATTTTTTGGGCTCAGTTTGCATAATTTCAGAATTTTAATCGCGTAAAAGACGGGGACTGGTAGAGAAACTCATTGACAGCTAAGAATGTGTGCTAGATACGGACACAGTTCTGTTTAGTTTTAGTAACAGTTTTACAGCACTTGCAACACAGTAAGGTCATATAAGTGCCGAAGATTAGGGGTGTTACAAGAGAAGAACACACATACATACATACATTTTAATAAGGAGGGGAGACACGTACGATAGATGTTTGATAGTGAGGAAATAGCAAACCCCACCAGAGCACCCTCCAACCACTGACGGACGAACTTCATGTATACTGAAAAGACCAAATGTGAAGTGAGCTGACAAAATGAGTTACTTCTCAGATTCAAGCCTTAAGGAAATAGATACACCATGCTTTTATGTGAAGGTTTTACAGTTTATAAGTATGAAGTAATAAAAGACAGGTTATGGTTAAAGAACATTGGATCAATTGAAAATCTACTAGTTTGACCCTAATGTCGAGTTTTGGCCTATGTCTCCATTTGTGGATTGCGAGAAGTAACTCATTTTGTCAGGACGCCTCACAAATGGCTAGATTTGAAATTGTGTTGACCAGGACTTCTGTTTTGTAGGTTTTGTGCAAATCGACTACATGTCATCATATTGGTCTCTTATTCATCAACCACGACCAGTATGCATCTTTTGAAGTATCTAAATCTCAACATTTACTTGATCATTTCCTTTTGATAAAATTGTACTTCAAGTGTGTAAATAAATCTAAATGTGTAAGGGTTACAAGGCGAAATTAGATTTTGTCCAAGAAACAGCCATGGTGTTTTATTACCAAATGGGTGAAATTTGTTCTTCATGTCTAGGTTATAGGTTTATCTACATATAGGTTTACTTACTTTCCATAGACATTCGACAGCAAGAACCAAGCAATAAACAAACATAAAACAAGAAAGCAAAGATACCCCTCCTCCCCCCCCCAGA